TACACACCTCCCGGTACTCTACTCATGTGTAGAACCTACCCAGCATTGCTGAGCCGTGCAGATTGGCAAAAACCTGCTCTGACACGGATGTGGAGGTTAGAAACATGATGCGGCGTTTAAACCCAGTCCCGAAACGCTTAATCCTGATCCCCTGGTTGCTGACCCTGATTTTCCTCATCGCTTGCGGAGGCGCGGCAACCGCACCCGCACCCCAGGCTGGTGATGCCCCGGCTGCTGACAGTTCGGTTGCGCCCACCTCGGCTCCGGTTGGCCAGGCCCCGGCACAGGCCGCCAAAGCTACGGCTATGCCGGAGGCGGTTGTACCATCCCCCGACGACTGGGTTTCCCGCGTTAAGCATGGCTGAACCATGAATTGGGTGGCGCGCAATAACCCTGGGTTCTGGGATGTCCACTATGGCGCCAGCCTCACCACCACCCTTACGCCCTCCGGTGTCAGAGTTTAACCAGTTGGTGGAATACGACCCGGTCAACCCCGATGAAATAATCGGCGACCTGGCGGAAAGCTGGGAGATGAGCGACGACGGCACGATTTACACGTTCCACCTGGCCGATGCCCAGTGGAGCGACGGCGAACCGGTCAAGGCCAGCGACATTGTGTTCAGCCTCGACCGAATCGTGTTGCCTGACGCATTCCGCGGTAGAACCAACAGCCTCAGGGATTTCTATGAATACCAGACCGCCGAGGCGATAGACGACAAGACCGTGGGTATGCCTATCAAGTTCCCGGCGGCGACCTTCATGGTCAATCTGGCTTCCGACTACATGAAAATGTACCCGGAACACGTGGCCGGTTCGCTATCCCAGGAGGATGCGAACTGCTGCCCCTAAAATATGCTCGGCTCCGGCCCCTTCATCTTCAAGGAAGGGAGCTGGCAGAAGCAGGAGGGCTACGAATACGTTCGGAATCCCAACTACTTCAAAGCGCCGCGTCCCTTCTTCGATGGCTTCAAGGTCTTCCTCATTCAGGATGTAGCCAGGTCCATCGCCACTCTGAAAGTAGGACAGGCCGACGGCACCTACTACCCGGTTCTGTCTACTTACACCGAATTCGTGGAACAATTGGAACGCGATACCGACGGCGTGATGCGAGCCCTGTTCATGACCAATGTTCAGCGCAGCGGTATCACCTTCAATTGGCAAATCAAGCCCTACGACGATCCCAGGGTCCGCCGCGCTATGTGGCTGGTCATCGACCATGAGGAGATCGTAGCAAAAATCCTCCGTGGCAACGGCACCGTAGGCACTCATTTCCACGTCGGGTTTGCCCCCAACGAGGCTACCGAGGAGCTTTACCAGTTGCCAGGCTATCGGCGCGAAGCCGATGGTGGCAAATCCCTGGCGGATTTGGCTGAAGGCAAGCGGCTACTGGCGGAAGCTGGTTACCCGACGGGTTCAGCGGCACAATCTCCTCGATACTTACCGGATGCACCGCGACGCAGGCTCAGTTGATTAGCCAAGTCTGGAAGCGGGAACTCAACCTGGACATGAACATCGTCTCCACCGATGTCGCTACCCGCTACGCCAACTGGAGAAGCAACGACTACGAAGTAATCACCTCCTGCGGCAGTGGCATTATTCTCCCGGACCCGTCCGACATCCTGAATCAATGGTACGGGACGGACACGATGCGGAACTCTCTGAACTGGACCACACCCGAGTTCGATCTACTCAAAGATGCCCAAACCAGAGAGCTGGACCCAGAAAAGCGCAAGCTGATTTTTGCGGAGATGGTAGATCTCCTGCGGGAAGACGTTCCCCACTACCTGCCAATAGGCTGGATGCACGCCGGCGGAGCGCTGGACTACAGAATCAAAAACTACCACGTGCCGAGGACCATTCAGTTGGTACACAAGTGGGATGCCGCCTGGTGGGATGAGAACGCCGAGAAACCACCGGTCGGTACCGGCTACCAGCCGTAAACGAGCGTGAGTCCGTAAGCCATTCGGCGCGCTAAGCCCTTGGGGGACATGGTGACCACTTACATCATTCGAAGATTGCTCCTCTTTGTTCCCACGATTCTGATCGTAACCATCATCATCTTCATGCTGATGTGGATCGTTCCCGGTGATACCGCCATGCTCATCCTCACCGGGACCGACCCCAGCGAGGGTGGGCGCGTCGATCTCGCCGACATCGAGAGATTGCGGGCGAAGCTGGGACTGGATCGGCCGGTTCACATCCAATACGCAGACTGGATCTGGCATATGGTGCGTGGCGACCTGGGGGAGTCGCTTTGGTACCAAACCCCGGTCATCGACGAGTTGGGATCGAGGTTCATCACCACCATCCAACTGGCGGTAATGGGCATGGGCATTGCTTTTCTGGTGGCGGTCCCATTGGGAATCCTGTCCGCAGTGAAGCAGGACACCGGGCTGGATTACGTAAGCCGTATCTTCGCCCTCCTGGGCATCGCCATGCCCACGTTCCTGATCGCCATCGTAGTCACGTATGTCCTGGCCTACGTCTTTGATTGGCTACCTCCCCTGGACTACGCAACCTTGTGGGAAAACCCGCTCACCAACCTGCAACAAATGATATTCCCGGCCCTGGCTATCGCGTTTCACGACCTCGCGTTTACCGCCAGGGTCACCCGTTCTTCGATGCTGGAGGTCATGCGGGACGACTACGTGAGGACCGCCCGTTCCAAGGGCCTCAACGAGTTTGGGGTGATTGGACGCCACGCCCTCAAAAACGCAATCCTGCCCATCATTACCATATCGGGCTACCAGTTTGGACGCCTCCTGGGTGGGGTGATAATCGTGGAGGTCATTTTCCTGGTGCCGGGGGTAGGGACAATGCTCATCGATGCCATCATCCACCGGGACTTCGTGGTAATTCAGGCGGTGGTTGTGCTCGTCGCGGCGGTCGTGATGTTCCTGAATCTGGCAATTGACCTCGCTTATGGCCTGCTTGATCCCAGGATTCGCTACCAGTAAAGCAATCCCCATCTCCGGAGAAAAACATCATGGCAACGCGTGAAATAGGCTCCCAGGACGGCCTTACCAGTACCCGATCCGCTTTGCTGCGAGTTCCGGTTGTATTTCGGTCGGCAGGCGTCCTGGCCAAACGCAAACCGCTGGGAGCCGTGGGCGCTGTAATCACAATTGCCCTTATCCTGATTGCCATCAGTTCCCGTCTGAGCCTCCTGCCCGTAGTGATCCTTACGAATCCGTGGGAGATATATTCCTCGATCCCAGCCGGGAATTCCCAATGGGCACCGACATCATCGGGCGAGACGTGCTGAGCCGAGTGCTTTACGGTTCGTGGATCTCCCTATACGTGGCCATTGGCAGCGTACTCATTGGTATCTCGGCCGGGTTCGTCCTCGGCATCGTCAGCACCTACGCCGGCGGCGTGGTCGACCTCGCCATCCAGCGCCTGATCGATGCTCTCATGTCGATGCCCGGTTTGATCCTCGCCCTCGCCATCATGGCTATCCTCGGCCCTTCGTTGAACAACGTCATCCTCGCCATCGTAATCGGGATGATCGCGCCGGTCGTTCGCACCGTTCGCTCACAGGTTCTGACGCTCAAGGAAATGGACTACGTAACGGCGGCCCGGGCAGTGGGCGCCCGTCCCGGGCGCATCGTCTTCCGCCACATCATGCCCAACTGTTTCGCCATATACCTCATCATGGCCACCTACTACCTGGGCTTCGCCATCATAATTGAGGCATCCCTCAGCTTCCTGGGCGTGGGAGCCCCTCCCGACGACCCCACCTGTCCCGCGTCAACTATATTTGCCGGTCCTGTTGCCTCATTCAGAAATGTTACCGAAACTCTAGCACTTGGGGTCCGCCCCAGCCAGTGCTAATTCCGGCATTGCAGGGAGTTCCGCCATGGGCTCACCAGCGGCGGCGTAGACCAGCTTTTGGGCCATGATGCCGCGCCACTGCCGCACCCTGCGCTGCAACGTACGCAGGTGAGCCCGGCTGAAACGATCCGGTTCGGCCTCTTGCAGTCGGCCCCAAGCAATACCACCGCACTGGCGTCCGGGTCTTCCTGCAACCAGCCCAGTACGTCGCACCACACTCCTTCGAAAGGATCGGGCCGAGTTCGCCAGGTGCGGGGCGGTTGCATCCGCCGCTCCCGTGAGGTATGCGCTGCATCCTGCCGCCACAAGTCGGGCAACTTGGCCAGGAACTGTTCCAGGCTCTCGCCGCTGGGAGTGGGCCGGATTTCGGGGAAACGTAACGCGGCCAGGGCCGACTGGGCTTCCCGGATGGCGTGCAGCAGCGCCACCGGTCCCAACTTGACCCGATAATCACTCGGCGC